AACTAGAGTCACAGCCTGTCGTGTGCATCCTCTGTGAAAGTGGCAAGTGTTCTAACCACTGAGCCATCTCTCCAGCCCGCTGACTTCTCTCCTAGACAGACCTTGCCAACTCTCAAACGAGTTTAGTATACTTAAGCCATTAACTTTGTTGTCGTCACTTGTTTATAATGAGAGTTCCAGAATGTACCAGCTCATGTACCCAATCGTGGTCCCACTGCCAGGGGCCTCTCAAATAGACCAAGCTGTCTCCCCCATGCAGAGGGCCTAGCTCAGCTCCATGCAGGCTCCACAGCTGCCCTCTGGAGTGCGTGGGTTCCCACGGGTTTGGCTCAGCTGTCTCCAGTCAGGCTATTCTAACACAACAAAAGCCAGCCTCCTAATTGACCCTCTCCCCACCCTGTAGAGAGAAATCCGCTTTCACTCACCTTTTGCTCCCGTTGATACACATTGTAAACTTCCCTGTGACTGTTCAGATGCACACGGTAGCCAAGTCACATAACGTATGACTTCTCCTTTCCTATACAAATCTGTTTTCTCCGAAGCCAATAATGACCTTTAAAAAGTGTATTTATCGTGGTCCCATCTGTTCATTCCTCGTCCTCTCCCCAGGTATATAAACTCTCTCTTCAGTGGGGCCAGATTCAATTGAGCCGAGGCGTCTTCAAGGAGCCTCAAGCTGGGCTGATGGTGTGCACTAGTCTCAGCGCTGGCAAGCTGAGGTGGACGGGCCTTTGGGGCCAGTCTAGGCGACCCTCGTGTGAGGCTCCACATCAAGGAAGCAGGTCTCTCTTGGAGGCCCCGGCCTCACTGGGGGCTGTCTTGGTTGCTCCCTGGACTGATAGATCCGCTGTTCTCCCAAGATTGCCTCTACTTAACATCCCAGATAGCCATTGCCTCTCACACTCTCAGTTCCAGAAGCTCTTCTCATGAGAACCCTCTACTTACCTCTTCATCCTACTCCCGAAAATGTTCTCCTCTCATGGCACAGGCAGTGAAAAACCAGAGGAGATTCTTGGTCTTGGCAGAGGAGACCCAGCTAGTGACGGAGGTGCATATATCCTGAGGGCCTCAAACGGCGACAGCATCCAGACTTGTGTGATGGTTTGAATGTAACTGCCCCCCCAACCTCATGGGGCGTGGCACTATGAGGAGGTGTGGCTTTGTTGGTGTGGGTGTGGCCTTGTTAGAGTGGGTGTGGTCTTGTTGAGGAAGTATGTCTCTGTGGGGGCGGGTTTTGAGATCTCCTATGCTGAGGATACAGCCCAGTGTCTCAGCAGACTTCCTGTTGCCTGCACGATGTAGGACTCTCAGCTACCTCTCCAGCACCACATCTGCCTGCATGTCGTCATGCTCCACATCATGATGATGGACTGAACCTCTGAAGCTGTAACACCTCAGTTAAATGCTATGGGGGGCTGGGGAGATGGCTCAGAGGTTAAGAGCACTGGCTGCTCTTCCAAAGGACCTGAGTTCCATTCCCAGCAACCACACGATGGCTCACAACCATCCATAATGAGATCTGGTGCCCTCTTCTGGCCTGAAGAATATATGCAGACAGAACACTGTATATACAATAAATCTTTAAAAAAATGAGTTGCCATGGCCATTATGCCTCTTTTTTTAAAAAATATTTATTTATTTATTTATTACATATACAGTGTTCTGCCTACATACCAGAAGAGGGAACCAGATTGAATTGTAGATGGTTGTGAGCCGCCATGTGGTTGCTGGGAATTAAACTCAGGACCTCTGGAAGAGCAGTCAGTGCTCATAACCTCTGAACCATCTCTCCAGCCCCACTATGCCTCTTTGAAGCAATAGAAATCCTAAGTAAGACAACTTTTTTCCAGACAACTTATTAAAATGACATTTCCTACCTTTTTTTGATTATATATCACGTGCATATTGTTGAAAATTTGGGAAACTAGGAAAGAGATCACAAGCACACATCTCTTAATAAAGATGCAATTGCTAACATTTTAACTTATTCATGGGGCTGGAGAGATGGCTCATTGATGAAGAGCACCTGCTGCTCTTGCAGAAAACTGAAATGCTAGCCCCAGCACCCACACGAGGTGGCTCAACCCCTGTAACTTCAGCTTTAGGGGAGTCGGCGACACCTTCCGGTTTCTGTGAGCAAAACATTCATACACACACAGAGACACAATGCACCCCTAAACAGAAAAAGAAATAATTTAGAAATGTACTCATAAAAAATAAACTGTGTGGTGAGAAATTCCAAGTGGAAAAACGATTGTCTAGTGGGAAAGGGAAGCCCATTGCTTGGCTCCTGATGCCTGGAGGCACCGTGTACACCGAAAGCCATGGAAGCGTGGAGAAGAGCCTTCAGGCACACCTTGAGAGACTGGTGAGTGTGTGTCTTGTCACGTCGTGTGTCAACGTCACCCATTAAGTTGTCAGATGCAGTGCTGCTGGCTTCTACAGCTGATGCACTGGGTTGTCATATAAAATGGGATTTAACACGAAGATGGCAGCATCATTGGCAGATGATGTCTGGGAAAGCGTGTGAGAACCACTCTGACGGGGGTGGGGAGTGGGTAGTTTGTTCTACATCCAAAGAGGAGGTTTCCGTTCTCCGGGCAGCGCTGTTGCTTCTGGTGTGATGGTGAGACACTGTTAGGTTAACTGACTTGATTGCTCCTAAGTTCACCTTTGACATGACTGCTTCTAAGTTCCTTGCCTGCTGCGGCTGTTTATATCTGAAACGCCCCTCACAGGCTCATGTTTTGGATGCTCGGTGCCCATCTCGTGGACGGTTTTCAAGGCTGCGGAGTGTAGGGGTAAGGCCTACCTGGTGGGAATGGGTTGTGGGAGTGGCCCCTATAGTCCTGCCTGTTCTTTCTGCTTCCTGGACCACAGAGAAATGAACAACCCCGGCACATGTATCTGCTGCCAGACTTTCCCTTGCAGGCTCCACTGACAACTCTCCAAACCACTGGCGAAAGTAAAACTCTCCTCCGTTGAGCTTTCTTCTCTAAGTATTTGGTCATTGCAAGACAGAGGTAACTTAACACGTGCATAAAAAGCAAAAACAAAAATAAAAACAAAACCAGCAAGTGAGCCAAAGAACCCAGTTTGCAAACAAATTAAAACAAGCAGAACCAACCAGCTTAAAGCCACAGAATGAGTTGCAACCAGAAACTTTCTTCAGTTGGCAGAAAGCCTTCACCATGGTAAAAATCCCCAGACAGAACAGGTACGATTTATAGATGGTTGTAACCATGTTGGTGCTGGGAACTGAACCAGGATCCTCTGCTACAGCAACAAGTGATCTTAACTCCCCAGTCCTTCCCTGTCTTAAAAGCCCTCAGAAAGACTCCGGAACTGTAACAAAAAGAGGACCATAGACAATGTAGATGAAGCTGAGAAAACATCCAAGAGCCACGCCAGCAAGGGTTGTCCATTCTGTGCTTGAAGAGGAAGTATTTGTTCTTGGCTGAGAGCCGTGTCCTCAGATACCATAGTCATGAATGGGGGGGGGCTGTCAGCAAGCGAATTCCTCTCAGTTTAGTAATTAGCTCCGAATTAGGAGACTAGCTGGCGAGTGTAGTTCTGTTCTTCCAAATCTTTGCAAAAAAAGGCTAGAGAATGTTCGAACAACTTTCCTTGAAAAGACTAGGAGAACCCAGCAGAGGGAGCAGGGTGGAGCCTTCCAGTGGAGGAACCTCAAAGAGCAACTAGCCGGGTGGAACCTTGGGGTTGGGTTTACTGGAGGCTTTAATTATTCCCGAACCCCACTCCAGTGGTTTCTTAAACACTAGGGAGTATAGTGGGATGCCCAGGAGGGAAATCTTCGAGGCCCAAGAATAGAAATAATCCAGTTAACAGAATGTCAGTCACATCCTGTTCAAATACTAAACAATATTCTCCCTTGGCCTCTCTCCCTCCTCCCCTCCCTTTCTTCCACTGTTCCTTCCTTCTTGCTAGGGTTTGAGTCCATGACCTTCCTTCCTCAGCGTCCTGACTGCTGTGATGTGCATCAGTGCACAGTCTTTACTGTTTAGGTCACCTCTTTAGCTGGGGTTAGACGGACAGTTTTCACATTGTATTTTAATGTATGTCATCTACCTCAACACCTGCAGGTAGTTGAAGCAGGAACCAGGCCTTACACTCTGACCCTTGCTGAATAGCAGGGCATCTTGTACATAGGAGGCAGGCAATAGATGCTCACTGGATACTTCTTAGGCACTGAGCCTTGGACCACCTGTGGCCACCAGTCAGTGTGGCTCAAGCCACACCAAGGTGTCATCTTCATGATGAATGACTGTCAATTGCTGACTGGTTGGAATTGATGCAGTTGCTTTTGGATGGCATTCTGAGTGAAGATGTAGGCGTTTCAGTTCAGGAAGTCCCCATCCGAAGTGTAGTTGAATCTCCTCAGGAAAGGGCAGTTAGCAGAAGCTCGGGGCAGCCCAGAATGTTTCATACATGTAAAATGTCTGTGTACCAAGTGATTTCTTTTTTAGTATGGTTTCCCCAGAGCTATCACTTTGTCTTGAATGGTTCTTTTTTTTTTTTTAAAGGTTTATTTATTATGTATACAGCGTTCTGCCTCCAGGCCAGAAGAGGGCACCAGATCTTGTTACAGATGGTTGTGAGCCACCATGTGGTTGCTGGGAATTGAACTCAGGACCTCTGGGAGAGCAGCCAGTGCTCTTAACCTCTGAGCCATCTCTCCAGCCCTTGAATGGTTCTTATCATCTAAACAGAGACTATTGCTGTAAAGTTTTAGAGAGAGCCGGGCGCTGGTGGCACACGCCTTTAATCCCAGCACTCAGGAGGCAGAGGCAGGCGGATCTCTGTGACTTCGAGGCCAGCCTGGTCTACAGAGCAAGTTCCAGGACAACCTCCAAAACAATACAGAAAAACCCTGTCTCGAAAAACCAAAAAAAAAAAAAAAAGTTTGAGAGAGAAATAGTGTTCTCATTAACCATTTGAGACTAAGCCTGACCCCCCCCCCCCCCCGCCCCAAGGTCTATTGATCCTAATAGCTTTAGTTGACTTGAATTTGAAGAATTCTAAAGTATCCGAGTTATCCCCGGGTCCCACTACAGAAACTTTGAAGATCCTGTGATTCTGAATCTGGTGGTCGGACCGACTGCTTCAACATCTTTTCCATTTACTAGGTTTACAAGGTCAGAAAGACCATACCAGAAGTGTTTATAACAGAATCTGGGATCTCAGTGGTTCCATGAAAAGGCTGTCGGGAAAAGTAAAGCTCTGGATACAAATGAGAAGTCGGTTCTCTGGGTGTCTGTGTATTGTGCAGCAGGGAAAGAAGCTGGAATAAAACGAGGTCCCAGCTGGTGGCAGGGCTGTGGTGGCTTAGCGGTGGACAGGCTAAGCTGTTCACCCCCAGACTTGACTACAGAAAGGATGCTGTCAGAGCAGCTTCTCGGGAGACTCCTGCTGGAGTCAGAAGAAAGAGATCTGTGTTTGTAAAGGTGACAAGCTCCAGAGCGATGCTAAGTCACAGGAGGGGAGGGATGCTCCTAGTAAAAAGATAGACCAGGTTTCAATGAACTGCGGCGGTCTTTAGAAGATTACACGCCCTTCGGCTCCCCAGAAGTGTCGGTTTCTGTGAGATTTCTTTCACCAGCTGAGCCATCCCATTAGCCAAGGCCACACTGCTTATCTCAAAGATGACAAAATCAAAGTGTTGTAGGGGTAGGGACTTTTGCTAGAGTGTTGATTTCTGAATGCCTCTTCTCTTCAGTTAGCCATGACATTTCTGAGATGGACTGGCCTCCTTGGAAACCAGTGCCACAAGGTGCAGAAGCATAGCGACAGCATAACTCAGATACCTACCTTTTTAATCTACTGTCTATCCGTCATCTCTATTTATCTATCTGTCTATCATCTATTGTCTGTCTATCTATCTCTATTATCTGTCATCTATCTATCTATCTATCTATCATCTATCTATCTTCTCTATATGTCTACCTGTCTTTCTATCATCTACTCTATCGTCTATCTCTATATATCTACCTATCACCTATCTTTCTATCATCTATCTTCTCTGTAATCTATTATCTATCTATCTATCTACCTATCTATCTATCTATCTATCTATCTATCTATCTATCTATCATTTATGTAATTTGGTGCTCTGGACTACAGAGATGGCTGCATGATTGAGAGCACTGTGTTACTCTGACAGAGAACTAGAGTTCCATTCCCAGCACCTATGCTGGGAAGCTCAGAACTTCTTGTCGCTCCATCTCCAGGGGACCTGTTGCCCTTTCCTGGCCTCTCTGAACACACTCACACGCACACACCCATACATATACACAAACCATGGTGCTGCAATCAAACTCCATGTTTGCATGGTAGGCAAGCGCCACAGAGCCGTGCGTGCCCAGACCCGCCTTTATTTCTTCCCTTCTTTCTCTCATTTCCTCTGCCCTTTTTTGCTCTTAGGTCCCCTCACCTCCTTACCAGAAGGCTGACCAGCTCCTGTTTGCTTCCATAGGAAAATCTCCACCGAAGTCACCAGGTTTTTATTCCTGTGTTCTGGGCTTTCGCTTGCCAGACCTCAGTCCTACGCTGGTGATGAGGCAAAATGGGGGAGGTGAGGGGCACTCCTTCTTCCGTTTGTTTATTTCTGTTGTTTGCGTTGCGCTCTAAGTGCAAACACAATTAGAAACCCTACCAGAGAATAGCGTCATCCCGAGTGTGCCCGACTGTGGGGCATCAGACACGCCAGTGCCCTCTCTGGAGATCCGTTTCCTCCCTGGATCCTAGTGGCTGGACGGACTACTTGAATATCTTTTCTGTTTTACCAGGTTTTCCAAGGCCACCAAAACTACACGGGTGTGTGTGTGTGTGGGTTTCTCACGTGGAGCATTTCTTTATGGGGGAGGAGAGGGAGCTGCAGGGCAGCCTCGTGGGAGGAGAGACAGAGGCACAGAGAGAGGCAGAGAGCTAGAGAGAGACATGGGAGGGAGGAAAGAAGAGGAAGAGGAGGAAAGGTGTTTTTTAAGAGGAATCGCACTGCTGTGTGAGTTCAGGGAGATGCTCCACCAGGATTCTGCGCCTGCTCCCACCTAGCAGCCCAGCACTCAGGTCGAGATGTTCATGGGCTCTCTAACTTACGCACAGGTTCTCTTCGTCCTCTTCCCAGGCCCACTAAACCCATATTTCTCGACTGCAGGAACACGCACGCGTATTCACTGGGTGTCCCACTGAGTGTCCGTCCTGGGGAATGTAAAAGAGGATGGGAACCCACTCGAGTCAGAATGCCCTGCTTAGAAACCTTCATGATTTCTTTTACGCGCCACACTCCATTGCACCATTTCCCGTCCTTCCTGAGCACTCCAAGCCACCCTCGGGCCTGGGATGCCCTCTTGCTGCACGCACACTCTAGCCAGTCCAACTCGAGTCTCCATTCGGGGATGCGGTGTCCTTCCGGGACAAAGGGTGCACTACATGCGTTTTTGTTGTTGTGACTGGCTCAGTCTCACTCGGGAAAGAGGCCGAGATGTGCTCAGAGTCAGTCACCTGTTGGCAGGTAAGGAGTAGAGAAAGTGCTATTCTGGAACCCATGCTTTGTCCTCTCTGGTGCGCTCTCCCGGGGCGGGGGGGGGGGGCACGCAGGAAGCACTATAGTATTCCTGCTTTCGACACACAGCGTGGCCCTTCTCTCACTCACCTGGTCATCTGTGAGTGCGGATTTCACCCAGGAAGGAGGGATTTTTAGCATGACCATACCCATCCTTCGCTGTGGACCCGGCTGCTTCAACTTTGCAAGGAAAGAGGAGGCCCTCCTAGAGGCTTCCAGAAAAATTTGGTGACGCCCCCTTTCCAGCTTCTGCGGGTGAAGCTACGTCTCTTCCTTTTGGAAACTGCAGACTTGGCGCGGGACAGCTGGCTCGTGGAGAGGAGCGAATGCCCAGTCTCACGCTAGAAAAACTTTGGGGATCCACGGTGAAGGAAGGAGCCAGAAGGGAGGATCCCGCAGGGGAAGCGGGGCGGGGACTGAAGGAATGCCGGCTGGATGCTCCCCTCCCCGCCGTAGCCAGGGCCCTCCCTCCCTCCTCCCTCCCCTTCCTCCCCTCTCCTCTTCCCTGTGTGGATGGCCAAGGCCGCGGCCAGAGTCGGAGCCCCAGCCGCGCTGCCCGTGAGTGATCAGCCCCAGGGACGGGCAGGGGGAGGCTTGGCGGGAGCCCCTCTCCAGGGTGGGGTCGCCCCCTCCCCGCTCTCTGGAGTTTGGGGGCGGGGGCAGAGGACATCTCCTGGGCTCCCCATCCTCGACACCCTACGGGGCGTCCTGGGTCCGCGAGGGGCTGGGCTCCGCAGCAGACTTCTGTCTGCCCTGGGCCTAACTGGAAAGAAAGGAAAACCCAAGTGCACGGGACGGTCAGGTTCCCGGGCAGGACGGGGAGGGGACTGTAGGGCCCCATGCATGGTCTACCCAGACCTGGGCACCAGACCCTGTCCCCTCAGAGCTCCCCGCACCTAAGATACCCCGCTCCCCAGCCTTCCTGGCTCCTGTTCCTGGGGTCCTGTACTTTCTCGCCGCCGCTGGGTTCACTTGCATCTTGACCTCTGCGATGACCAGCCAGGCGGAGCCAGCCGGGCCACGGGGTCACACAGGCGTGGGAACACTCTGCCCTAGTATTTGCTGCAGCGCTGGCCTGCTCCTGGGTTAGGCACGTGGACTTTGGGTGCAGGTGCGAACGAAAGTGAATTCCTTCTAGGATTCTACTATGTGTGTGGTTCAGTAGCACCCATCCTGGATATCTAAGTGTCTGTCGTCCGTCTAAGTGTCTGTCGTCCATCTAAGTGTCTGTCGTCCGTCTCCTTTCCTTTCAACTGTACAGACCCCCAGCGATGACACTTAATCTAATTGAGCGGCAAAGCTCGTAAGGAAAAATAAAATGCTAGCCAAAAGGTTCTGTTCAGGGGGCAAAGGTGATTGCTGCTAGGCCTTGACGACTTCAGTTGGATGGCTGGGGACCCTAGACAGTGCGCGGAGAAAATCCACTCCGCCTCGTTCTCCACATTAAACCCACGTATGTAGCACAGGCTCCGCCCCCTCTTCATAAGTGAAACAAACAAAAAGCAGCTAACAGTAAATAAAAATACCATGCAGAAAGCTGATCGTCCGAAAGTAGAGGTTCAGTCTCCACTAGCTGTGTTGGTGGGAGCTTGTTTTTTTTTTTAGACTGCTCTAACCCAGCTATTGCAGCCTCCCCCCAGGCTGGAGGTTTTAATTTGCCTGACATGCTTGGACAGGAAGGCTGTTGTCTTTCCCGTCTGCAGTCCGTTGCAAACAAGTGGAAGAATAATGGAAGAGGCTCAAACGAGGAGGACCACAGGCCGCACGAAAAAGGCAGCACACTTTTTCTACCACCCCGAGGCTGTAGCTTTAGCTGAGTTCTGATTGGATGGAAGAGCCGGTTAGCTCATTTGTGTGGTTTTTATGCCGGGGCCTGTTATGGCCGAATCAATGTTTCCATGACGGGCTTGGTTCTCTGGGTGCTTCCAGAAAGCCCTCTGAGTCTTGCCTAGGACCATGGGATTCAGGACTAGTTTCTGATGTCCTTCTGTGGTGTTTTAGGGACTGGGTGAGGTTGATGGTCTGTATCACTGGCTCAGAATCAGAGCAGTTGGAAGCAGCCGGGGATTCATCAAAACCGAGCTGTGTGGGAGGAACTGCAGGGGGATTCTGCACCTCCCCTTATGTGAGGGATACACACCTCTGTTTGTTTCTTATGTGTGTGTGGCGAATGTGTGTGGACACACTTCTATGGATGGCAGGGGAGGGTGTGGGGTGCCCTGCTCAGTCACCCTCTCTGCTTTCTTCCCTTGAGACAGGGTCTCTTACTGAATCTGGGGCTCATTGTTTTTGTTTTTTGTTTTTTTTCCAACAGACTGTCAAATGTTTCTGCTCAGGCATGCCCCATTTGTGCCAAGTTGAATGTTTTATGTGGGTTCTGGGGAATGATCTGAACTCAGGTCCTTAAGCTAGCTCTGAAGGAAGACAAGCCTCTGAAATTCTCTACAGACAACAGTGGCATCATAACAAGTGTCACAAAAGCAGGTCAGGGGAGAAGTGAAGATTTAAAGACCGTGGTTAGTACAGAGACTCATAACTGCTTTTAGTCCTGAGAAGTGGGATACAGAGAGAGAGAGAGACAGAGAGAGACAGAGAGAGACAGAAACAGAGACAGACAGAGAGACAGAGACAGAGAGAGACAGAAACAGAGACAGACAGAGACAGAGAGACAGAGACAGGGAGGGACCAGAGGTCAGTGAAATGAGGGGTGAGATGATCAAAGTACATTTCATATACATATGGCATTGTGAGAGAATAAATAAACACACAGGGATTTTAAAAGCTGAATTCATTGAAAGTAGGGGAGGGGCCTATTTTAAACAGGATATAACTCACTTTGCGTGGTCTGACAGCCTCACATCTGTACGAATCAGTAAGGCTCTGTCCGTGGTCTAGAGCATCATAAAGGACCTCCTTCATGTAAATCAAGTAAGCGCTGAACTTGTATGACCCCATGGCTTAGGAAAACAACGTACCCTGATAAGAATTTCCGGTTCTTTCCTCTTCCTCAGAATTTTTAATCCTGTATCTAATGCCCCGGAAGTCAACCTTCTCCTGTTTGGAGAAAAACTGCCCATCTGGCCATTTTCCCTTTTGTATCCATTATGGAATTGCACCTACGTAAACAGGGTAGTCTGCCACGCATCTAGCTGCCAAGGTTGGCTAAGCAGCCTTGGTCCGGGCTTCTCGTGGCGAGATGCTGGAGATGTCAGAAGACCACAGAAGGGTCTCTGATCTCAGGGTGAGTGTGACGCGTGGGTAATGAGGTGGAAGCCATCTCTAAGTAGCCAGGAGGATGTCAGCCACCGTCTGGCCCAGTGGGATGGGTTAGAATTATAGATGTTGTGGGACCTACATCTCGAGAGAAGAGGGCAGGGCCTGTCAAAGAATAAACTCAACCGGAGGAATGCCACGTGGCCTTTAATATAGCACTACTCGGTATAGGATACTGATCACATAGCAGATGCTTAGAGTGTGTGTGGCGGGGGGATGGCTGGGGGGGTGAATTTAAATAGCAAGTTATGGATTAGAAAGCACTAGCCTTTTGCTCTTAGAAAATGCGCCGGTAGCAATTGGAATTACATGCTTTGAAATGGATGGGGGGATTAGAGTTGCTTTTGCTTTCCTTGGTGTGTGTGTGTCAGCGTTACTCAGCTTTTGACAGTAATGCCAGCTAGCATTCAGCGAGTGTTAAAACACTCACACGGAGTATTTCATTTTAAAAGTCTTCGAGGTAAGAACTATTATTATTTTCACTGTGGAGATTCAGAAACCAGGATTAGAGGGGAATTCGCCGTGGCTGTGCAGGTGTTAACTGTGGGAAGCAAGCCTCGAACCTAGGTCGGTGGTGAAAGTTTACACACCCCAACCACTACTATCCACTGTCCCCGCACACAAATTATCAATATTATTATGGAGAAAATAAAAAAAAATCTTGCTTTAATAAAGAGTCTAATATTTTGGCTGCTTCTAAAATCTGCCTCCCGAATCCTTTGCCTTCCACGGTTCTTTCTTTTTGGGAGTCTTTGAGAATTGCTCCAGACTTACAACACAGTTGGGAAACAGCTCTACCCTGTGAGATGTGAGATGTGTCCAGAAGTCTCTGGAAGCTTCCCAGTCAGACTGGAGTTCCAGGAACCCCCATGGGATTCTGGTGCAGTTCCAGTATGAGTCTGGATTTTTTATTTTTTATTTTTATTTTTTGGTTTTATGAGACAGGGTTTCTCTGTATTGTTTTGGAGGCTGTCGGACCAGCCCAGCCTTGATTAAAGGCGTGCGCCACCACCACCGGGCGAGGCTGGATTTTTTTTAAAGATTAGGCAGACTATGTCGCCAGAGCTGTGCTCTGGAGCTTTCGCTGTTCTTTACAGCGGAAGTGAGTGGGAGGGGTAGAGAATCTCATTGTGTCTTGATGTTCGGTCCTTCGGTCCTTCGTAAACAGGGTCGTGAGCTCGCACCTGGAAGCCTGGGTCCGTGGGTGTGTGGGCAAGGTTGGCTGGTTTAATGGAGACATTTGGTGTGATTCTGAGACTCGATCCCATAGCATTGCCCACAGGCAGCCAGGTCCTGGAGGTCATTTTATCCGTCCCCTTTATGGTACCTACCTAATTTCTTCAGAAAGATCAGTTTGTGTGTGTGTGTGTGTGTGTGTGTGTGTGTCCCAAGTCACCAAAAAAGATCCTGCTGATTTAGATGCCAGAAGGGTTCCTCTCTTCTGTTTCTGGAAGGTTAATGATTCTAATGATGGTGACCTCCTCATTGAAAATAGGTTGTAAACCGGGCCGTGGTGGCTTGCGCCTTTAATCCCAGCACTCTGGAGGCAGAGGCAGGCGGATCTCTGTGAGTTCGAGGACAGCCTGGTCTACAGAGTGAGTTCCAGAACAGCCAGGGCTGTGTAGAAAGACCCTGGCTAAGAGAGAGTGCCGCTCTTGCAGAGGGCCTGAGTTTGGTTCCCAGCTCTCGTGCCAGGTGGCCCACGACTACCTCAGGCTCCAAGGGATCAGACGCCCTCTTCTGGCTCCCACGGGCACCTGTGCTGACACGCCCACACCCACCACATACAAAAAAAGGAAGAAAAATCGTTATAGGGGTGAAGGGTCCCTTCCCAAATTATCCCACTCATACTGATATTTGAGATCTTGTTTATACTTAATACAATAAAAGATTTCTTTCTGGTCTCAGTGGTAGGAATATGAGTGTCCCTTTGAGAGGTTTACCTGTGGCCTCTAATGGGGGCGCTGTCTCCTCCACCATTATTTGGTGTTTATCTTTTCTCATTTGGCCAA